TTTTTTTGCAAACATTAAGTTACATCTCCTTTCAACAATCTCAACAATTTGGTATCGCATTTAACGTTTCAAAACTTAAAACATTAAATTTCTTATTCATTTTATTTTTCACGATATAAGTTTTACAATTATCTTTTTTTCCTTTTCCCTTTATCGAGAGCAAAATGCATTTCATTTAAAAGATCACTTACGAAAAATAATCAGATATAATTATTAAATGCAAAGCGAAATGTGTGTTAGATGCGCTAAAATTATTATATATTGGAAAAACTGTTATCTTTTTATATATCTATATTTCATTAAAATATTTCATCTCTTTCCAATTATACTTAGTTTAAAAAAACAAGTATACCAGTTAAAATTAAGAGAAAAAAAGACTTAAAGCAAAAAAAGAAATAAAATTATTACAAAATTATTATTATACACATTAAATATATAATTCTTTTATACAATGTGTATAAACTGAATAATAATTAAAAATACATCTTTCACTATTTATATATTTATATTGTTATGAAAAATATAATTATATTATATTACAAAAGCAATTATGCAATATAATATTACATTTATTAGTGTATGCTCCATGAAAAAAGTTAATTGTATCAAATTAAAAAGTATATATATATATAAAACTCAAGTAATACTATCTTTATTCATTTATATATGACATTAACTATAATATTTTCTGATATGTAATATGCATAAGTTAGTAAATAAATAACGTTAACGTAAACGAAATTTATAAAAAGCATTTTAGAAACTGTAGAGATATAAAAATGAGGATACATATATACATATATACATACACACATATATATATACATATATATATGTATGTAGAGAGAGAGAGAGAGAGAGAGAGAGAGAGAGAGAGAGAGAGAGAGAGAGAGAAAAAATATATTTAGAAGCTCAGAAAACCAAGTTTCACAAAGTAAGACATTTTTACGAAAGTCATAGTACACTTTCTCCAAATGATGTTCTCTTGCTCGAGATATCTCTTTACAAGAGATATCAATTTCAGATCAAAGCAGAGAAATTCAATTCGTTCGTATACAACGATCGCGCGCGACATATATGCAGGCTGTTGAATACGATTGCAACGCACGATGTGACGAATAACGAAGCGGCGTAAATTCTAGTGTCGCTACCATTGCAGAAGCACAAAACCGAAATGAAATTTCTCTTTCAAAATTCCTAATACTTGTTAAATTTCTCTTATCGTTGTAACAACCACTCGTTCGTATGAGTTTGACAATGCGTGCGCGTGCACTGAATTAAAAATCAACGAATTTATTTCCCGAAATATTTCAGAGCACATTTTACCTGTAGATAAAGTTAATATATAGTTTGTTGTAATGTTAAAATTGACTATGTGCAATACAGTTGCAAGAAGGGAGGGGGTTCTATGGTTATAACAAATTTTATAACAAATATCCAGAATAATCCGGATATTTGAAATAAAATCGAATTGGATACCAATATGAAATGTATAATCAAATGCACAGCATAAGCATACTCTAATCATTTTTGCTTCTTATCTAATTCACTTGTTTTGTACAATATACCACACATAAGTTAGTAAACATTAACTCATATAGAACATCCTGTACATACGTCACATATATGCATAAATACAATGACGTACGAATTATGAGCAAATCACTACTACTACTAATTTCCCGAAATATAAGCAAGAATTTTACAGCCCCTAATCCTAAATAGCTTCGCCTCGATAATTACGCTTTTATTTCGTTCAAAAAAATAATATATTTTTAAAAGTTTACACATTTTTAATGTTAACATATATTTTCGCACAGACAATTTCAAATCTGTGACAATTAATCAATCATAAAATTAAATAATATTGATAATTATTCACGCCACGTGCCGCTCTATTGATCGCAAAATTTCAATAACAATTTAATAAACACAAAAAAGACAGATACGATGCTCAAGTTAAAAATTAAAATAAAAGTTCTTCGACAATTTCGTTAGAGCCCTTCCAATTAAAAAAGCAAGACATCGCTTTCCTTATCCTTACTGTGTCTTAATCCTTAAATAAAGCTAAAGTCACTTGCAACAACTTAAGCCTACAGCTAGACCTTTCATGTACAATGTACACACATATATATATATATATATATATATATATATATATAATCATGCTATATTTCAAATCATACATACGAGTATTTCAGCTCGTACATACATGTGATATTATATATATGTAGATACATATACTTTTTCATGTAGTTTTTGTTTCTATATTTTGTATAATGTAGGCGTCAAAAGAGCGATTCTATATCGCTTTTGCTATTCACGTTATTTTAGCAATAATTTCAACAGCTGAAATCTTGATTTCTTTTTTATATCATCTTAATGTTTTTAACAGTATTTCAATCGCAAGTTCCTTCCTCTTTGTCCCACTAATTTTTGTTATCGAGTAAAATCTCGTGTGTAAAACTTGGTGCAAATATATGTTGTTGCATTTCATGAGCTATCCTGTCTTCTTCTCTTCCACTTTTTCGCGAAATAATCTCGTTATTCTTATAGATTTTGCAAATGTTAAATCTCTACTAAAAAAATTCATAATAAATTTTAAACTTTCATCTTTTGTAGGTAAATAATCTTCATTAGGTTTGTACAAATATTATCATCTTTCCATGATTAATACACATTTGTATTTGCTTATTTTTCCAAAACTATAATTAATGCAAATAGATTGGCTTTGAAATTTATTGATACTATAAGTACCGATTATGTCGTTGAACAAAAATATGTGCACATACTTAATATTTGTATATTTTATTATACCGCATTTACGATGTGTAATTTAGAAAATTAATGTAACATAAATATACATATATAAGTATATATAGCTAATTTATTAATGAACCATCAATTAGTATTATTGGTATGGAAAATATAATTAAATTTGAGTCGTTATTTTTAATTAAATGTTTAGTATAATGTGCATAGCGTTACCGTGTCACGTAAGTATATAAGTAATAAGATAATTTTTACATTTAAATTAAAATTACGTGTTTCCTTGTAATATTAAAAAACGATAAAAAAAATAACAACTCGTTTAGACATTATAACTATGACATTTGTACTATTCCACCGAAATACGCAATGTGTTTTTAGATTCTCATCGCTACTAACTGAGAGGCCAGGTTATACAAGAGCAATTACATCTCAGTAAAATGCGCATACGCGAGATACAAACGGGAGTCTTACGCCTTTACGCTCGTAATCTTTAAACCATAGCGCATTTGCATCAGGAACCACTTACCTCCATAATAATTTATCCATATAGTTCAAAGCGTTACCTGCAATAAAACGAATAAACCACGCGATTGATTCTGGATTTCTACACTGCCTCCTTTCGACAACTTTGATAATTTATTACATTATAACGCAATTTATTAGCATAATGGATTGAACCATTACCAATGACACATTTTAAATTTTTCTTGAACAAATGCGTAAAATTAACTCCAAAGTCCACATGAAACCAAGGAAATTGAAGAAGCTTATAATTTGGTAGCAAGTTTCGTTTCTACAATATCTATTACAAAGAGTTTTTAAACCTTCTTGATGCAATGATCAAATTTATCCAATTCTACATTACAAGTAGCATATTTCTTCTGCGATACAATAATTAAGATTTACAGAAATACACATTTAGTTTTTTTTTTTATTTTTTAATCGAAAACTAAGCAAAGTGCACACAGATCTCGTCTGCTTTTTTTTTTTTTAAAGATACTTTTAAGCTTCGCGGAACACGATATAGTTTATTTCATCTTTGCACGTAGAATCCTGGATATCGAGAAAACTTCGGTGAGAAGCGCTTTGCTGAGACAGCACGGAAAGGTCAAAACGATCGACTCCAAGAAAACGAACGATCAGATATAATGATTCTGATGGCGTTACAGATATTCTTTATTATTTATATTTTTTCCCACGCTGACTATGATATGTTTCAAATGAGTGAGTAATATTTCCGTTAATTTGTGCGAGTAGATCGATTAAATTAATATTATAGATAGCGAATAGAGTTTAGATTGTTCTAATTGAAAAACTGAAAGACTACCATAAATATCAGTTTTGCCTTTACCTTTCGCAGTGTTAATTTTAGAATATATAATATTATTGTTGGAGACAACATATATATTTATGGCGATGCATTGTGCGATTCACGAATTATGAAGAATGAAAGATGAGAATCCATACATACAAAATGTCAAACAGTCAGGTGATTATTTCAACTTTTATATATAAATATGTAAGACGTATATTATTATAATGATGGCCTGCGTTATTTTAATTATTATTTGAGAATTAAAAATTTTATAATAATTACTTCATTGTTAAATGTATGTTTTATTGTATAGATTTTGGCCGTTTTTTTAAGATATATCAATCTCATTTTCTTGTAGTTATATAAAAATCTGTTAAATATCTTTATTGGTTTTTATCTTTATAGTAACTCATTGTATAATGGTTTGTAAAAAACAAAATAAATTTTTTTACAAAGTCGTTAAACAATCAAATGAAAATATAACTTTTCATATAGAATTTATCAATTGACTTGATTTTATCAATCTTTTTCTCTTCATTTTATTAAGTTTAAAATAAATATTTTAATATATGCAAAGAAGCAATTTTTAGTGCTGATAATTTATATGATAATTACAAAAAATGTTTAATATTTTTATTGTTAATTTACTGAAGAAGTATATTGTTAATTTACTGAGATAATACTGTTGTTCTTCTTAAGATAATTGTTAAAAACAAATGTTTGAATTATGATATCGGTAATAATGCAGTTATAATGAAGTTGATGAGCTTTTTTTGTGACATAATCGGCTATATAATCGATTATTTCTAAATTTTCCAAAAAATTCCATTTTTGTCCTTTTGTAAAGAAATCATTTATACATTGTAAATATTCAACTGTAATATACAATCGGTAATAAGTGATGCTCTCAAGATTCAAACTCGTACATTTACTAAAAAACGTACATTTACTATTCAATTATTCGCCAAATCTCTTCCGTTGTTACAGAATTGCATTTTATCATGAATGTATTGTCAGATATAGATACAACTGATATGATCAGCTGATTGCAAAACATTTGTTCTAATTTAGGATATGCATTTAATTTTGCTCTAGTTGCTTGAATTTAATTTAACGCTTTTTTATCATAAGCGGAATATGTGTGTGTGTGTGTGTGTGTGTGTGTGTGTGCGCGCGCGCGCGCGCCGCACTCAAAATTTTTTAAAGAAAGTTTCGCAATTTTAACGCTAGTAGTAAAAATCGCGATATGTTATTAATCATGCTCTTTCCAGCTTATTAAATTCAGAGTTAACAACCACGCCCTTTCATATCAATTAATTTTCTTCAATATTCTTTATTTACTGTCGTGTTCGTTATTTACTATCCTCATTCTCTCTTTCATCTTTTGCTTCCTGCTCTGAAATTGATATTGCATATAAAACTTGATCGCGTGCTAGACAATCGACTACATTGCAAACTAATTGTAAGAGATCAAATACATTACAAGATGTTGCACCGGTTGCAGCTGGCTTCTTATAATTAATAACGAAGAGATTGATCGCACCGCTGTTACAGCTTATCTCGTGCACCCGTTAAAATATATTACTGAATTTATTGCCGTCCGCATTGAATCAAAGTTGAATCTCTATGTTTAACCTGATCCGTAAGGACTTGGCAAATCCCAAAATTATATCACGCTAAATCGTCAATTGTATAATTCATCGAATGTTGTATATCTTATACGAGATCGAGATAGATCGCCATTTATCTTTCTCATTTGTCAAACAACGAATAACAAATAATTTATTTAACTCGTTATCGTTGTGTAATAGCTATTTTCGTATCCGTATGAAATCTGTACCGTTCCTTTATTCAATTACATCAAATTTTTTCACAACTCTTGCAATTGCCATTTTCACAATTATTCAAATAACGACTCCTAAGCAATCGCTTAATTTAGACTATTACTAAGCACTCAATTAATTTAAACTATTACACTTATAAAGCAGTGATTATTTTAGAAACGTTTGTAAGGTTGCAAAATAAATTCACGCAGATTTGCCAGTAGCAATATCTCGCAAGGCATATGTCAAATTATCAATCAGATCAGTAGAAATAGGATCGATCGAATCAAAAGAGTCAACGAGAGCACATTCCAGGAGATAACAGAAAACAAGAAAAGAATTGGAGCCTAAGCCAGAACCGGATCGATCAAGTACGAAGATGGATGCCCAACTACGAATCGTCAAAATTAGATCAACTCTTGTTAGAGCCAATCGCAGGGTTCCATCTCGGTCTTTTGTCGAGTATCTTTTGTCTTCTTCAATCGCAGATCGCGACATATATCTAAGTCTACGGCTATCTCGAAACAGCGAATGCATCACGCCAAGATGCGGAGCATTCTGATTATCATTCGCAAACGTCGCGCTGTGTTACTAGTGCCGGTGCCATAATGACACAATTAAAGACGGACTGTTGCTATACAACAATAGCATACGTCTTACGGCGACCTATCGATCTACGAATGGTTGACGACCGCTAATACGACCTTGAAGCGTAAACAACGCTCATTATACGACCTGTTTGTCGGACGGTAACGCCGATGGAACTTCTCTGCCCAGTCAGGTACCTGCCAGCTATGAAAAGGATTTATCGACATGGAGGTGAATCGCTTATATAAATCTATATACTACCAGCACCGGAAGTAAGATGATGGACGCAATTGTTGACGAACTATGCAGTTGGCTGACACCGGCAGAAACGCTCGACGCCATTGCACTTTTACATGCCTCGGGTGTGGGATCTGCAAAGAACTCAAAATTGTAAGTAAAGAACACAGACTTTTTCTATTATATTATTATACTAGGCTGCTAACTCCCCACTTTTCCTATGTAAAAGTTGCCTGCGCGCAATGTGTGTATGCGCAGAATAAAACCATTACATACAGACAGGAGATGCGATACAACAGATGATAGCGATTCTGTGATTGATTTAAAAGTATAAGAAAGCAGTGTGCAAACGTATTTATTCTGTGCATGTATTATATACGTTTTGGCAACAGTTAAAGAGAGTTAGCGGTCTAGTGTTATAACAGGATGCAATCACCGCTTACTGAGCGCTCAATGAGTGATTGTAGAACGGAAATGTTACGTACTCATAGAAGTCTGCGATAAAGAGTGAACACTTCTCTCTCTCTCTCTCTCTCTTTCGCTCTCTCATATTCTTAGCTAATTGTAAATACAATTTCACATACAACGAGTCGAACTTTTAGGGCCGATTGTTCCACCTTTTAATAAATTTTATCTGTTGGGTAAGTAGCAAGATTATCCAATCACATGCGTGGATTATCAGATTTACTTCACAGGTAAAATTTACCAAAAAGTGGAACAATCGGCCTTTAGTCAATGCTATACTGCTAACGAGATACTATTAAAGATCGTCAACCCTAGGCAAATTTTTGTCCTCACAAAAAAAGGGCTCGGAAATAATTGAAAAATATTGACATTGTCGACAATTGATATAAATATAAAATATGCAATTATTAACATAAATATTTAGCTAATACTAAATAATAAATCATTAAATTCAAAATTTTTTATAATACATACGTCTATGAAACTAATAAATCATAAAATTAATACTATATTATCAATCCCTTACTCTTAATCACATAAATTTTAAATTTTAATGAACAGCTTGAACAAGGACGCGAATTCTCGTAAGAAGATTAGTCTTTAATAATATCTTGTCGTAGTGGCTGCATAATTTACACAGCGGGGATAAAAGGATCCTTTATTTTCATATGAGAAAATTTTGTACGTACCAGGAACACCTTTTAGGCGCGGCAGAAATTCGTTCCAAAATGCACAGGCTGTTGTGCGAGGACCTCTGCCAAAAGCATTCTTCTTTTCTGCATTCCAAATAAAATACTTTGGATGATTTCTGGTATAAGATGGCCACTCTGTTTCGGTTACTGTTGGCATCCTGAAAAATATATTAAAAAGTAGGGATATACCGGATTGTAAAATTACCGATTATTGAATACGGATATCCGAAACTTATATATGCGGTCAGATATCGGATATTTCCCGAATATTCAGTACGCACCTATTAAAAAGTAAAAATGACTCCGTCTACTAGTCAATTAAATGAATGTTTCAAGACAAGCATATAGCAATCTAATAATTGAATCTTTTAAAAATTGCGAGAAAATGTACAATCTTTGTAATTTTCCATGTATATAGATTTTTTAAATTTGAAATTTTAAAAATTAAATTGGCATGTTTTCATGCTATTCATTCAGTACTAATTTTTCATGCTCTATGTTGTAGTAAAAAAAGTAGATTTCGAATATTGGGAAGGCAATATGTTGATCGTAAACAACAAAGCAAAAAACAAATCCTATACTCATAGCGATATGTCGTAATAACTTTAAACTTTATTATCATCGAATTTATCTTGCAAAAGCAGAGAAAATTCTCTTTTTTGCTATAACTTGATATATCTATAAATGAAGAGACATTTTATATAAAAATTTAAATAATCTTATCACGAATGTAAAGCTATATAAAATTAAAGATACATTAATTCTACTTTACATTTAATTTTATGCATAAGTAGAATCAGAGAATGTGATTATAATGTTTGATTTTATGATCTCTTTAATCAACAAAAAAGCATTTTTAATAAATTTGAATATTTTTTCCTATTATTTGATCAAAATATATATCAAATAGGACAATGCTAGAATGTAGGACATAATGTTTGTGCCTAAAATATAATATGGGCTTTCTACCATAAGCTATTACCTAAATTTTAAGTTTTGAGCTGTGAAAAACTGATCATCAATTATAGTCAATGTGAGAAGAATAATTAATCGACTATAATTGGTCTATTTTTTACTTTAAGATTTAAAGCTTGGATAATGGCTTATTATATTAGGTGTTGGAATTAATTCGTAGCGTTTTTAATGAAAGAATGTTATTTATTTCACATGAGCATTAAAAAATACATTAATGAAAGTACTTCCCATCACTTGTAAAACGCTACGAATTAATTCCAACACCTAATAGAAAACCTGTAATAGTTAAGCTGTTTTGACAGATTATAAATTATTAAAAAATATTAATTATTATTAATTATTAAAAAATATCGTTAAAAAATTTTAAAAATCGATCCCTGTATATATTTGTCATAATTCAATGAATAAAAATTTTTAAGATTATAAATAAAAATGTTTAAGATTATATTTATGAAAAAATTATTTTTGTGCTCAGTACGTAATACTAACATTTTCGTGTTGACAAATGGAAATTTAAGTTTGGATATGCAACGAATTTCTGATGAACTTACTCCTTACTCGTAGTTATAATTTGAATTTAAATTAACTTTCATACATCGAATTCTCCTCTATATGTTGGCATCCATGCTGCATCACTTACATTTATAATTTCATGTTACATTAGATATATTAGCATGAACAATTTTTATTAAGTATTTTGTTATCTTGACTATGTATTTAACATGTATATAATAAACTAATTAAATATTTGTATATAAGTAAAATTTACAATACAAATGAGTGAAGAGAAATAATTTATTTATATGATGATGTAAGGTATATATTAATAATTTATAAAATTATAAATACAAAATTAATCTTAAATATTAATGCTTATATGTAGGTGTGATATTGTAGAGTGAACTCGGATAAGATAGCCACACGGAAAAGATAACCATAGGTTGTAATTTTTACGGAAATGGTTATAATACCCGAGTTTACCCCGTAGTAATAACATAGAAATAATTTCCCACTGCTCTTTAATCAAACATATATAAAAGTTTAATCTATAAGAAAATACATTGAAAGAACAATTTTATTAAATTTTCTAAGATTCGCAGTAAAAAAATTTTTTTCTATTTTTTTTTTATTTCAAGAAATTGGCCATCCAAATAAAAACTGAATTTATTTTATTTTTATTTTCTCTCTTTCGACAAATTATACAAAAATTTTATCGGATTCTAACGGAATATTATTGAAAAGAAAATTGAATTATATTTTTATTTAAAGATTAGAATTTTTATATACAATGTAATGTATTAAAAAATGCAATAATCAAAATCGGCAATAATTTATACCAAATCGAATTGAAATTTCTAACGAATATTGTTAAGTTATTTTTATATTTAATTTGCGGCCTTAATGCTTGTAAATTAGTCATCATGAAACGACATAATTATTATCCTTGACAAAATTAATCCTAACATTCTTCCTATATATTTTTATAATATTCGTGATTTTGTTGGGAATATTATTACTATTATTGCTACTGTACATATACAGTGGATCACAGAAAGGTTGCAATATTTTTTTTGATGGATTTTGGAATGCAGTCTGTTCATAAAAGCGATTGATTCTTCTTACTTGTGGATCTAATCAGTTGTGTTCAAAACCGCTCTACGAGCAAAGCTAAATTCCAAAACCTATTAAAAAAAAGTGTTGCAACCTTTTTCTATCCACTATACACATATATTATGTAACTAGCAATATTATAATAATATTATTATTATTATAATTATAGTAAATTTTTAATATATGATAATTTCTTATTAACGTAATTTTTTTTATTTATTGTATCTAATACTATATTATTATTTACTAGATCAGAGATAATAAATCTTTGGCATTGCATGATTCATAATACCTAATACTTGTAATACCTACCCCGTATATGCAAATCGCGAGAAGTAGTGAATCATTCTCAAAGAAAGATCTCGTTCATTGTCGGTATATTCCAATGATTTATTTAAGGGATGCCCAAAGACATATTCCACTTCGTCACCATGCATCACACCCATCCATTTGCCCCATACATTCGTACTTGTCCTCTGCAACATAACATACGTTTTATTATTATTTCCTCGATTTAACATTATTATACGTATTATATGTATTCAAGATGATATACATTTATCACAGTTTTCCTATTTAATATTGAGATAACATACATATTTAATATTGAGTAAACATACATATATCAAACTATTGATATAACTATTTTACGCAAAGAGAGAAAGAATGATTTTTCTAAAATAATATAAAATTTCTAGATATATAAGTTTGACAATAATTTTGTTGAACTATCAAAATAATTATGTAAGATGCTCAAATTGTTTACTAAAATGACAAAATATTTTTCAACATTACTCATCATATTTGAATTTCCTACATAATTATTTTGGTGAATCAATAAGGTTATTTTTAGATTTATGTATTTATTTAATTATGTATTCATTTAAAGTTCACGCGCTTAAGTGCAGTTGGATTTTCCGTTGTATCACATCTGAACGCGCGAATTTTAGGTAGTATTTGATATATAAGTATTTGATAATTTTAAGTATATACTTATAATTCAAAAATTATTAAAATATCAACATTTTATAATAATATTAGAATTTTCGCCTCAAAATGATTTCAGGAAAAGAAAAATGTACTTATAAACAATAATAGACTACTTAAGTAAATAATATAAAATAAGTATAAAATCATCAATATAATCAGAAGTTAAGTTATCTTTGATTAAGATATAGTATTTTTGGCAATAAATTCTTTACAGTATTTTTAGGATCTCATTTTGGTATTATTATTAAATTAACGACCATTTTAATTTGTCATTATTCCAGTTTTAATTTATTACGTTTCAAGTTCGACAATAATCGGCGCACGGTTTATAGAAACTGGAAAATGTATTTAAAATTTACATAGAAATATTATTAAACACCAAAAGTCATTCTCGATAGGTAATTTAGCAATTTTATGTTTATTTGTATTATTCAAATAAATGATCTAATTATTATTATTTAATTAAAATATTCAAGTGTTCACAAAAAGTTTATAGATAGCAGCAGTATATATTGTATTTATATTGTGAAAAGAATCAAATTTGAATCAAGTGTTATAAAATCGCATATCAAGATATATGATTGAACATCAATTTCAGTATGAGTGTATCTAATTCTGTAATTTTGCGACTTGAAATTGCAAGGGCGGAAACACGCCACGTAGGCGAACGACAATAATAAAAAAAAGAGAAGCATTTTCGCGCGAGTCTTCGTTTAACCAGTGGGTAAAGCCGTTATTAAGATTACGACTGGGACGCATGAGTAATGACATCCTCTTTACTTTCAACGGCGCTTCGAAGAACCGAGCGTTACTAGCTGATAAATTACCTTCTTCACTAATTGCTCGAGCCTTCATACCGCGGCATTTTGCTTACGTGCGTTTCATGGCTCAGAGGCTGCAATGAAGATAGAGGATAACGCCAAGTAAGGGGACGAAAAAGAGAAAAAAAGAAGGATAAAGTAAAAAGTGCAACGCGAAAGGTTGCGAAAAGAATGCTCTAAGAGAAAAAGAAAGAGCGAGCAAATGTGTGAGTGAGAGAAAGAGAGAGAGAGAGAGAGAGAGAGAGAGAAAGAAAGAGAGAGAGAGAGAGAGGAAAAGGAATGAATAAAAGAGGAAAAGGAAGGGAGGTGAATGAGACGATGCGAAAAAATGTCGTACGAGAAGTGAAAACGAGAAAATGCATAGTGAACAATAGGAAACGCATGGAAATGAGAAATAGAATAGTTCAGAGGCAAGGGGAAAGAAAAAAAGAAGGGCAACATCAAATATAGGAAAAGAGAGATCAATGACATGGATTAGATAAAAATACTATTTTTCATTTCATGGAAACAAGTTGACGATCGTAGATGTAAACAAATGGAAAAATATGTAAAAACCATAATTTATAATAACATTTTTTTACTAAATTATTTGAATGAATTCGAACAAATGATCAATTACGAAATGTTTGATCACATCATTTTTACGATTATTTTATTATTAGATACATATGCTAAGATAATTCTGAAATGAATAGTGCGTAAATATTTTTATTTATAATTTTTCTTTTTTCTATATTATTATTTTAAATTTCTATAAATTTTTTTCATATTTAAAATTTACAAAGTTTCACATAGAAAATCTCCTCTCTGAATGAATAAAAGTTACATAAAAATAACGTTAATAAAATAATGTTACAGTATAAGATATATGTACTATCATACTATTGAATATCATACTATTGAAAATATTTTCTCAATATTTCGAAATTCTGTTTTTGTAATCTATAATCACATGTAAGCTAATTGCAATATTTTCTTGAAATATCTCTACTTTTAAAATATTTTTCTCATTTGTTCAGTAATACAATCTGTTCGGTGTAACGTTCATGTTTTCGCGTTATTCATCAATATGCAAAATTCGTTGATCCCAAGGAAAAAATCTCTTAAAATAGAAATGATATTACAGATATCTATATAAAATTTCAATTGTTTATTTATTTTCTTTTAAATACTTTGCACGATTTTTTTGCTTTTTTTACGCAACGACTATCGATGCAGTCATCAAGGATGCCCAAAAGAGTAGAAAATACCCGGTGAACACACGAGAGAGCGATACTTCGAGATCGTATTATCATCAAATTGAATCGTGCTTTATTTACTAAAATACGAAAGTAAGGAACGTTCAATTTTCAAAAATGATATAGACTGACAGAATATTTATCTATTATCATGTATCTTTGTTCGGTCGAACGCTTTATTCGATAATTAATATTAAAACTATTTTTCTTTATTAGGTTTATAAGGAAAATTATATTACATTTTTACATTTTTGTCCATTTTCATCCATTAATTTTTTTTATTAGTGTAATTAATTTTATTTTACACAGAGAAAGAAAGAGAAAAACAGAAAAAGTGAGAGCGAGAGAGGGGGAGGGGGAGGAGTGTAGACAGCAAAGAGATTATTCGACAAGAACTAAATTGCTCTGATAATCGAATTCATCTTTTTTGATTACTCTTTACGATTTGAAAATATCTTTATAACGCTCGATCTTTGTAATTATTAAACTTATTATACTAACATAAAAATTCTATTATACGCATGTGAGTAAAGTCACGCTTATTTAAAGAATAAAATTTTGAATCTATTTTCCAAAAGAAATACCATTTATACTGAATTATACGTCAATTTAATTGACTTAAAGGAATTGTCATTGTTATATGTCACTATGTTAATATCTCTCCATTAGCAAAATCTTATATATTATAAAAAAGAAAAAAATTTTTTCAGAGAGAGAAACATATGGCACAATAATAGTAAAATTAATACAGATCAGATATTCATATAGGGTACAGAAAATGAAAGAAATTTACCTAATTAAATTTTACAAAAATGAATAAATAATATACTTTTATTCAAGTAAAATGTATTTATAAATTTTTTGCAAAAAGTTTATTAGCAAAATATTTAACAAACCTTTAAAAATATTTTTAATAGTAAATATGTTTTGAGATTAAAATCTTTTCTAGAAATATTTGTTTATTTTGGAAAAATCTATTTTAAGGCAACATTCAAATTATATATCTATTTTTCATATTATTTTTTAAATAGTAAATTCTATTAAAATAGCATTTATAATAAAAAAAGATTAAATTCAATTAAACTTTTATTAATTTTATTTCGAAAAATTGTCTCAAATAATTCCTTATTATTGTAACATGATTTTTAAAGCATATTATACAATTTTGTTTATAGTTCAATAAGATGTCGATGAAAGATATTTCATAATCAGAATAAACACAACGAAAAGCTGAACATGACAGCAGGACTGACGGTAAACGCGACATATTACAACACAGTAGAACGTCCGCATACGTAGTGTACACAAACTTCTCCCACGTGAGTTTACATTTCAAATAATTTCGGTGGTCACGAGGAGACGAAACAGTAATTGTACAGCGTACGTCATGAACGTGCATAATTTGCTGCATTCTGAATTTAAACATTACACCCCGATGATGTAATGGAGGATGCATTATCTTCCGGTGTGATAACACCTCGCAAATTGACAAAATGATAAAATAAATCACGTGGACGTGATTTGTGCGTGATTGATAATGTGAATATATGTTTATATTTAGTTATTACTCGCTATCCAAATATTACTCACACTTGATCATAGCAATGGTAGCACATCAATGATTGATTAATGTTACGAATGAATTCCATGGGACTAGGAAACGCATTAATAACACATTCGTCGTTTACATTAAAACAATTGTTTTCCACTTACTTCACGTTATATTTTAGTCCTGCCTAGTAGATTCTTCTGTTTTTTTATCTTTCTGTTTTACCCCCTTAGGTATATTTCTATCACATAAACTTTTTTATTATATTATATATAAAAGCGACCCAGAATCTAATTTACATAATACTCTTTTGCGGTAATTTCCCAGTTTTGTAAACTCTGTTCTTTTGGTTTACTTTGGGAGAATAGCGGTAAAAGTTCAGTACAATAATCGCTGTGCCGAGTAATTAGTATTATTAAGTTATTAGTATATTTTTTATCTTTAATGGTTCAAGTTGTTATTTTGTTTACTGAAATATTTTTTAGTTATAAAAAAATATTTCAGTCAACATCGATGTGGGGCTTGTTGAGCCAAGTATTCCACAACAATAATCTTATAACTCAGTTACTTAAATGAAATCTGTATATTTTATGTACAATTTTATTATTATGAAGAGTAGATAAAGTTTTTAATTTTTAAAATTTTGTTAATTAAAACATTTAAAAAGAGAGTATTATAAATTATTATATTTAAGATAGAAACTAATAAAAATTTGATTAATATACATACACATAATCCTTTTTATGTTATTAATAATATATAACCTCTTATTACACAATTACCGTCATGGCTTAACTTATACTTCGGAATTACTCAACATGCTCCATAAGTGGAATATATTGAGCCACTTTGTATTCTTGTGTGTAAAAAATAAAACTTTTTTCTTATTTACAAGGTATATTAAGAATTTATAAGTACTTAATTATTCAATCTCTCAGATGGACATGCAACATTTTAAAATATTTACTATTAATCTATCATAATTGAAAATTTATAACAATCTAAAGAAAAAATGACACAACTAGCCCCGCTCTACATTATAGAAATCTACTCCACGAAATTATCAAAATGCATAACGTAATAACGGTTTGTCAACTGATCATTATCTCTTAAAACATTCTTATTGACTAATATCTATCCTATAATCGAATGATAGACACTTACCTGCGTGAAAAAGTAATAGTAGACCTTCATGCCGCGATCTGCGAATAATTGCGCAAAATGTGTGGATGGGCAGATAAAGAAATAATCGCCCACGATGTCTGCTATCGCCCTCTGATTCTGATAACCATCGTTCACCCGATCCCAATCGGTATACTGAAACAAAAATTTGTACAAATTTCTATTAAACATTTTTAATTAATGTTCAAGAATGTACTTTTAATAATTACAACATAAGGTAAGGAGGATTAAGAATACGCATTGTCTAAAAATATGCATGGTTAATATCTCGAAATAAACAATAACGATTCAGTTGATTATTACTATGTTATGAAAACTCTATCAGTTAACTTATAGAAAATTCATTGTTTGATTATATTTAATAACTATAGGTAAGTTAATATTTTATCAGTTGTTGTTATATTTTTAATTTCCAGACTTTTTAGTTCACTGTCAATGAAGAATGTGTTTTCAGAATATTTTATTATTAGTTAAAAGTTAATCCTTTACTCAAAATAGTGTACAAAATATTATACAATATAGTTCTTTCTTTGTGATGCAAACATTTGTCAAATTTTTTGTAAATAATTTTTCATCTAGATGTTACGCTTATAGCCCGCAGGTTAAAAGAGATTACTAGGGCATCGAGTGGTGGTTACATCGAAACACTTTGTATCGTCAATTTCTTCCAATCGAAACGGCAGTAAAGTGCGCGGCTTTACGAATTCATTTCGTTCGATCACTCGCGCGTGGGCGGGATCAGCAAGCGGCATGAATTTATCAAAGACATGAGTTCCCGGCGACCTTTACGCGCACTGTACTCGTATATATATCATCGTAAACGAAAGGTATCCTCGCACTGCCTTGTTCCCGGATACTTAATGAAATGTACATGGAACTCGAGGTTTCACGCAGCCATGAAGCAGCCCTTGACAAAGCAACTTTGACGTGCCGTTCTGCTGATCGGAAAGTAATTAGCGGTCAGCTAGCAGAATGAAGCTCTTTGAAGAGTAATATTCCCTCAATACATAACGATATCGATTTTCCTCATAACTATAGCTGGTCCGTTACGCACTAGAAAATCTATACAAGTGTCATATTCGTTGGAAAGCATTCCCTTTATAAGATCTTTATAAAATTTTGCGTGATAGCATAACTATCTCATTCTTTTTTTAAAATAGATATTTTGTATATATATATATATATATATATGTGTGTGTGTGTGTATGTACACATATATGTATTTGAATTAATAATGGAATGTTCTATCAATTCTGACTGCAATTCATTTTGTAGGAAATCCAAAAAAGACTTAATTTGTCAACTAAAAAGTAAGATACGAATATCTGATATTGTTCGATTTGTTACATATTCCCGCACATACACTTGAATTGCTATTGAAACCTTCTCTCTCGAACATTATATGTGGATTTTTTTATATATTTTCATTTTTATATTTTCATATCTCCATTATTATGTATATTTAAAACATCGGTTCTCGTAAATGGTTGCTTCATCCGTCATAAAAGTTTGATTGAAAGTTATTGTCCAGGGTTGCACGTACATATTATTAACAAAAACGTATCCTTTTCTCATAATTTGTCGGCAAAAGTATGAGTATGTAATGATATGAATATCTACCATCACTACGTAATGTTCGCCAGATTGTAGATCCGGATATTTGTAGTTGATATGAAGCTCATCGAATACTTTGTCTCGGATTATTGCCAAAAAATTTGAATTTAAAGTTCTTTCGAAGCGATTTCAATTACACATTAATCCATAACAAATAACAATTGTGTATTTGTTGATAAAATGCACAGTTATAACACATATGATATATTTTGGAAAATATGGAGATGAAACTACATATTGGAAACTACATATTCTATACTGAATATTTTATTTTCTCAAGAAAAATTGTAAAATAATTGTATTATGATGAATTTTGCAAGATAAATATTTTCGACAGAACTATAGCATTGTGGCAATTATATTTCTAGAGATGTTGATTTTCTAGAAAAAATATAATAGAATCATCTCATTAATATATAATTACTATGAACTAAAGCTTTATACGATTTGAAATAATTTGCATTTATAATATGATTATACGATGGATAAGATAATATTTAGAGTTAATTGCAATCCGTTCATTCAAAGCTAACAGATCGATAAATATTCTGGCAATCAGTCAAATCAAATAGAAATTTGAACTTTATTGGCCCCGATATAGGCGGAATTTTTTCTGATTAGAAAGAAATAACGATTCGTTATAACTACAATTATACGTACTGTGGTTTGGGGAAAATCAACGAACGCATAAAAAAGATAGGAGCACGAAAAAAGCAGTAGAAAAAGGAATAGAGAAATAGCGAGTAGACATTCCAATTAACGGTTTTTTACTTTTCGCTCGTTCGTATATCTGGCGCGATATGCATCAGTGAGAAATGTACGTTTAATAATATAATCATAGCCGTTCTTTTTTAGACAAGCGAACGGAAGCTGGCGTACATTTTCAGCAAGATATCCATGCATACACAAATAAGTCACAATTACAACTGAAAGTTGAAATTATATTGCGTTTATCAGTTACAATGCGTAGCACACGTTATTTACAAATAAACGCATTACTGTAAATCGTGAAAATTCATGCGTATAATATTATTGCAATACTGCGATATTTCGAGTCTATAATTTGTCGCAAATATGTAAATATTTAAAGTTTCGAACGCTAAAAAATATATTAGAAGGTATAATATTTATTGCTTTGAACATAATATGTAACATGTATTATACATTAAATATAATAAAAAATAAAATTATATAAATTCTCTTTCTTAGAAATTATACTTATTATAATTTTATTTTTTTTAAATTTAGTTATGAAGAAAAAAAGAAAAAGCATAAATGGTAAAGTTCTTTCTATTCAATATCCACTGGCAAATCATGAGCAATTAAATTGACATGTGACATATGGTCTGCTTGTTTTTCTTTATGCTGTAAAAATAAAGCCTAAAACAACTTGGCGACAATTACAAGTTGAAGTTAGCTAACAAGAAGAACGCTCGAGGCCAATAAATATCTAGCCGAGATCTCGCTAAGTGGTTAGTTTACAAAAAATAGGTCGCAATGTGCTGCTGCACTTCTGCGTTTCGCTGGTCAACATACACGTATATTTCTGTATGTTGTATGATAAAGAACATAATTCGTTCTGTTACAATCTCATGGAAAATCATGCTTTTTTAGAAGAGCGTTTAACACTTTAAAATACACCCTATTTTTCATTCGTATAAATAAATCTTATTAACGAAACGCTCTTATCATTTACTTTGTATTTTATTCCTTTTATTGACTAACTCGTTAGTCAATAAATTAGAATGAAGCATGAAGAATGCATACCTCACAGGGCGTATTTTATCCGAGAGACTAGTTGTGCTACTCTTTTCTCCAGAATTGTAATCTCTCTCTCTCTCTCTCTCTTTCATCTTTTCTTCTTACAAAGGAAAATAAGAAAAGGAGGAAAACACACCAATAACTATAAATCAAATTACCCATCTCACATATTGTTATCCGTTAAAATGGAAACCAGACACAATGTTATAATCCATATTCATTTTCACATTGGCAAAAATAGAATTTGCAAATTAGAACTTCCTTCTAATTCAGATAATCTCTAAATTGTAATAATTTACACGTACTTATTTATACCATTTGATAAAAATAATCAGTAAAAAGTATCAGATTCTAAAGAAAGATTAATATTATATTTTCTAAAAATTATAATAGTTTCAAATATATAATAAAAGCGTGAATTATTACGGAACGTGAATAATCCAATTTGATTTAATCATGTTTATTTTTTCTAATTACACTGTTTCATTTAACTTTTCTGTACACAAAACTGTACTCCACGAAGCGCAGAGCGCAGCGAGAGAATCGTCATCGTGAAAAAAGAGGTAACAATATTTTTATAAAAACGAGTATTAATTTAACATGCCATTTTTCTAAATGAAGGATGAACGAATGAATATAATATAAATAATGCTTAGGTATTTTAAAATTGCTTGTCATTATTGTACAGAGTCCGGCAAAATGATCTCCCACATTTTTAAATTATTAAAGATTAAAATGTGGGAGATCATTTTGCCGGACCCTGTATTATCTCAAATTCGTAACTTTATAAAAATTTATAGTAGCGTAATGCACAAAAATAATATAATGAGGCTTACTTGAAAAATGATGGCTTCACGCTCGATTTGCGACATATTCTTGAAGATAGTATTGATGATGTTGAGAAATTTATCTCGCTCCAAAAAACTGGCTTGATCTTTCTCGAAGAAGTCAATGAAATCGTATAGAATAAAATATGTTCCTGAAACAGAAATATATGCATGCTAAACGCAATGATAAGAAACACTTATTATTATATATTATAAAGAACTATTGGAAAAAATATAAAAATATAGCAGAAAAGTTACAATTTATAAGTAGCATACAAATGCATAGCATCTTAAATTCAATTATTTTTATAAATCTGCACGACACAAATACTCGTTTCATCGTATGTACAATATTATGTAAGGAGAGGTCGCTAATATATTTAAAAGATATATTTTAAAAAAGCATACATGGTACACATATACATTAGCGCTTTATTTGCACTTGGCGTGCTACGTACGTCTATTATTTGTGTATTTAACAACTACTTGTTCACTGCATTACATTACATGCTATAGAGTAATAATAAAGATAAATATTCCTAATTTCATGCTCACACAGCAAAATACGAATATTTGAAAATGTTTATGGCATATTTTGCAATTAAAGATTGTCAAAAAATGATTGTAAAATTGTAATAAAACGTTGTCATACATATATGTATAATAGAATTTGAAAACTCGTTAATTTTTTTTTAATAAAAATACTGAAATTCCTAGAATTAACAATGTACTGATCAATATACTGATATCGAAAAATCTAAATTCACAATTAGATCTGATAGCATAAATCTTTCGTTAAAAACTTTTTTTCACAGACTTTATTAGATGTTAGTCTCTAAAACAAATGTGATGAGTTCGAATCGAAAGAAATTCTTCCACTTTTAATTAATTAATATTTAATTAATTCCTAATTTTGGCAAATTAATTTTTAAACGTACGGAAAAGGTACTTGTATAAACATATGTATCTTTTACTTAACCCTTTCAAACCTTATACATACATTATATTGTAACATACATTAAATTTAAAAACGTTATCAGCTAAAATCTTATGGACATTATCTGAGATCTAATACATATACATAATTATGTATATACAGGAAAAAGTCAAAATTTTGAAAAAAATTAAAAAATTGTTTAGTATGCATTTTTTATTTAAGTGCACATTGAATTGAATTAAAAATATTTTTTAACGTAGTTTTAATAAAATCAGATTTGAAGGGATTAAGTTGTTCTGCAACACACATAAAATTCATTAAAATCGAAAGAAACACTTTCATAAATAACTTCGTTATAATTATATTTAAGTTGTACACAAAAAATTGTGACAATTCAATTGTTCCAGTTTTACAACTTATACATGTGCATACGATGCAACTACTGGAAGCATTACCGATAAAAGTGTCAGAAAACCCAATTTCAAAATACTTCAACTCGATTTAATGAAAAAAGTTGACCACGCGACGTTATCATGCATTCTTGGTTCTACGGCGTGAAACCCCGGATTTCCGGCTGCTTACACGTGCACAACGTGGAAACTTCATCCCCCTTTTATGGTGAGCGAGAGTGTTGCCTCAGGCATGCCGTCTTTGAGATCACGTACGATATGGAGACTTCAAAGAGAGTGCTCCTCGGAAAGAAAATGTAGTTTTCCAATATAAAGTATTTCCTGTTGGACAATACGTATGACAACATACGTATGATATAAATAAGCCGCCTAGTTCTAACGTTTATGTTATACACATTCTCCAAGAATTAAGGTATATTGTGGAGTCTAGTTCAAATATAAATAACAATCTGTTACCAAGATTAATTATTGTTACCTATCATGTAAACATAAATAGAAAATTAATTTCTATAATAAATTATTGATTCAAAACACCCAAAAAATATTTTGGCGTTATGTATATGCGTCTGTGTAAATTGAGATGTAGTATATATGCGCTGTGTGTTTATGTGTATCTTAATTCATTTTTTAAATACAAATTATTTTAACAACCCTAAATATCGTAATCTCTTAATTAATATAGTAATACTGATAATTAATTTATAATACACGTAATTGTAATGTTTGAATCAGATTTGTTTAGTCTTCTTATAGAATTATGTTATAAATAAGACAAAGACATTAAAAAGATAATAAAATAACAAAATTATTTTTGTCATTTGTGATATATTATAGTTAATTAAATTTAATTATACAATAAAAAAATTATAATATATTATATATAACACATAAATTATATAAAATAATTTTTTTTCTTTTTTTCTTAAAGCAGAGATTTTAAGCTTTAAAACCCTTTTTTTTTAATTTAAATTTCGTTCATTTTTAGCGAAAATATTCTATGTACATACAATTTTAAGCTAATAAAATCGAACAAACTTATTCGCTAATCCAAATCAATCATTAATGCTGCAGACGATTATAATTGCAAGAATATTGAAAAAAATGTATGTAACAGATATTATTACTATTTTCATAAATACTATTGTATAAAAAAATAAAAAAATTATCACTATGTAATTTTCTCTGTAAAACACGTATGCAAGACGTGCGTGAAATTTATTTCTTAGAGAAGCGGTTGAGAAGGACAGAGAATCCTTTTTTACATCCAATGCAGTCTACGCGTGTTGCGAGCGACGATCTCGCGGACGATGCTGCCCTTTTTCTTTTTTTCTCTCTTTTCCCATGAAACACGGCGTGAGTGTTTCACAGAGATACTATTTAGTTTACCGGAAACTACTGCAGTAATATTGCATCTGACAACAAAGCTGGAAACCGAGTTGACTCGCTCGAGATGGTTTTTGTTTCGGACCTTCAGTTTCCAGGTTAATGGACACTTCGAGCGAAAAAGATGTAGAACCGAATTAACAAATTGAGAATCCTAACGAATTCAACATTGCATTGCCGTGATTTCTACGAAATGATATATTTAACGCCAATAAATTATTTGATGATGCGATGCACATATACTAAAATAAAAGACTGCAACTCTATAGAATTTTAATTTGATTAAAAAATTAATAAAAAATTCACCATCTCTCGAAGGAACATTCTGCAATAAAGATACAAAAGATATACATAAAATCTTTCGTATCTTTGTTGCAGAACGTTTCCTCGAAATGATGAATTTTTCATTAACTTTTTAATTTTTTAATTAGAATTAATTTATTTTATATTGTGAATTATATTATATTGTGAATTATATTGTCGAGATAGACTATACCAGAGTAGATTGTCTCCACTAAATTTAATGTCTTTGTAATTAATTTACAAATTATAATTTTTTCAAATTAACAGTCCGATAAAGATAAAATGTGTTTCTAAAAACTTAAGACTCCGTCAAAGATTCGTGTGGTTTTTTTTTGCTTGTAACTTTGGATGCTCTGTTTAAAAATTAAGGAAATATCAATTTCGAATTGGTTAAAAAAAGAAAAGAAGAGCGAAAAGGAGAGGAGAGAGGGTGCAGAGACGAAGAAAAAAATAAAAGAATAATTTTCTATACTTCTTATGTATTACAAAATTAACATTTCATTTCTATTTGGTAACAATAATCGTGCAAAAAGATAATCAAAATCAATGCTAAAGAGTTTGCGAGTTACCATGTATCGTGTTGTGATCCATTATTAATATCATGGTGAAAAGACGCATGGTGAATTATTGCGCATAATGGTGGCCAAGAGATGAAGATATGACTTGTCAATCAATCATGGGGAGTTTATTTTATATGCACGGAACTCAAACGTTCACAGATAATTATTAATAAAAACATTACATTGTCGTCAAATGCATGAGAACTGCGATTGCTGCAGTTTTTAATGCAACAGGTCGGCATGCTGCTTGAAACGATTAAGTCACAAAATATACACTTTTTTATTGCTTTATCTTTGCATAGATTGCTTTACCTCTAAACAAATATTTATATTATCTTCATATATTTATTTATTACCTACACGATAGTCACAATCGGTCTTTTTCAAATTTGAAAGAACTTTGTCTTTATGGACGCTGTATACACTGTATATGCGTAACTCTCAATCTTATAAATTTTGTACCGCGTTTACTCGCAACTGTACGCTTCGAAAGCTGCCATCAAAGAGCAAAATAATGAACACAGTCATATTGGATTTTCATAAAATGGACCTCCAATAATTGGCTGTTCGCATCCCACTACTAGCATCGGGAATAGCTCATCTTACATCATGATTAATTAGTAATTATACCAACGTTTTGTGAATCTTGCCGTTCACTTCATCAGAGCGAGAGTCATACTGATACGGAGGAGCAGATCAGTATCAGTGCGAGCCTTCTGATGAAATAAATGGTAAGGTTCATGAAATATTGATATTAGCACTGGACCATGACAATAATAATAAGCAAACCGTTTGACACGATTTCTAAAGAAAATATTCGTGAAAACCTCAAAAGTATTATCAAGAAATTAATTATTCGAAAAACTTTAAAGAAACTTTAATACAATTTGACTGCTAAATAATTTATCATAACATTAAATTGAAACTTAGCTAAATTAGTGGAAAAATCTTACACATAGGCAAACGTGCTAACAATTAGTGAATATTACATTTACATAAACGTAATATATTGTTCATATATTGCCTTATGGAAATCTTATCTAATAATTACACGCTTAATTATTACTTGCAATTATAAAATACATATAATCGTTATTTTTAATTAAAATGCGAAACAATAGCTAATTGCTCGATACAGTTGTGTCAGTGATGTGTAAGCGACAATCTATTTGTGTACCAATTTAACAAAGTAATCTTATCGATGGAAAAATTATCGATCAATTTTGACATGGAATACAAAAAATTTAGAAAGAAGAATTATTCGGTCTAAGAGAAACAGATTTGTGGTTTAGAAAGGAATTGGCATCGAGACTTGACCGCAAACACCGACATAGCATTACGAACTCCACTCGGATTGACTTTCAAGAGGAAAGCCGTTTTAGCAATAGCCAACTCAAACATTTGCGGTGTACTTGTAGCTATCCAAAATGGTAACGAATTAAGATTAAGTCGTATTTGCGCAGTACTTAAAAATTATACAATTTATGGTGGAAATATATAAAATTGTACATCTTTACATAAATTAGATACTTTTATCTCTAAAACTGTAAAATATATCT